CCACCTATTACTATCCAAAATACTTATTCCGCGACTTATTAGGGGGGCCACTGCCAGCGGTAGGCCCCCCTATTACTCTTCACCATATTTATTCTGTGGCATATTAGGGGGGCCACTACCAGCGGCAGGCCCCCCTATTACTCTTCAACATATTTATTAGGGGGGCCACTGCCAGCGGAAGGCCCACCTATTACTATGCGAAATATTTATTCTACGACTTATTAGGGGGATCCCTACCAGCGGCAGGCCCCCCTATTACTCTTCGCCATATTTTATTAGGGGGGCCACTGCCAGCGGCAGGCCCCCCTATTACTATCCAAAATACTTATTAGGGGGGCCACTGCCAGCGGCAAGGCCCACCTATTACTATCCAAAATACTTATTCCGCGACTTATTAGGGGGGGCACTGCCAGTGGCAGGCCCCCCTATTACTCTTCGCCATATTAGGGGGGCCACTGCCAGCGGCAGGCCCCCCCTATTACTATCCAAAATACTTATCAGGGGGGCCACATCCAGGGGCAAGGCCCACCTATTACTATCCAAAATACTTATTCCGTGACTTATTAGGGGGGCCACTGCCAGCGGCAGGCCCCCCTATTACTCTTCGCCATATTTATTAAGGGGGCCACTGCCAGGGGCAGGCCCACCTATTACTATCCGAAATATTTATTCTGCAACTTATTAGGGGGGTCACTACCAGCGGAGGCTGGAGTTTGACGTTTTTTTGTGAATATCCCTAAAAGATAGTTAGAGCCTGTGATGATGTCACCAGAGTGGAGGGCAGATTTGTGGATTTTTACTGATTTTTGCCAAAATCTTAACAGCGATTGCAGCCAAACGATGTGAGATCAGGCCTCATGGCTTCAATATGTCGAAGGTCCGTTTTTTGTGACCTGTTTGGTATTCGAATAAGGTCTCTCTGAGGTTGTGGTGCCGAGTATTTGGGCTCGGACGCGGACTAGGTTTTGGGCCCATTTTCGGCCCTCCCATTCATTTGCTATGGGACGCGTTTCACCTTTTTCGCATTTATTCGAAAACTCTGGGACTAATGACAGAGAAATATACAAGCAATCATCCCGTTGTCGGTTGGGACGGGCTTTCCTTTTTTGGGCCCAATACGTCAAACCGTGTGGGACTAGTTAGCGTCTGAAATTAGCACTCAATTAGCAATCAAGGCCCATAACTGGGCTGAAAAAGACCAAGAACAGGCCTGAAAAAGAGCCAGAACAGGACAGAAAATGGGCCAGAACAGGGCCGTTGCTTCATCAGCTGCACTGACACCACAGCTGAGTGAACTTTAACCGAGTCTGAGGGCTGTAAACCCTACAGGACACACCCTGCCTCTGGAGAAACCTGTGGGGTCAGAGCTCAGAGAGATATGGATAATGATCAATGACTTATTGTACCTGGTATGACTAAGCAATAATTGGTAACTAATCCCATGTTGGTCAGTGAGTGAAATGGAGTCAGAATGGGTCATGAGATCATTATAACCTGCCTTAGGGCCACAGGAACAGGACAGGGAAGAAGAGGGTCAGAAAAGAGCCAGAACTGGGCCAGAACAGGGCCGTTGCTACTGCAGCAGTACTGACACTACAGCTGAGTGAACTTTGAGTCGGAGGGCTGTAAACCCCACAGGACACACCCTGCCTCTGGAGAAACCTGTTGGCTCCTCTGTCCCGCCCCCCCACTGAGCTCTCATAAGGAAGCGTGTGACGGGAAAGCCTCATTTCCTGCTTCAGCTTGTCAGTCTGTCGTCTTTCGGAGCTCACAGATCGGTTCTGTTTAGGGGAAAGTTGAACTGTTAAACAGTTTCTAACAGCAGAAATGGCTCAGAAAGGAGTTCAGCTGGACACAGAAACCTTCTCCTGCTCCATCTGCCTGGATGTCCTGAAGGACCCGGTGACTATTCCCTGTGGACACAGCTACTGCATGAGCTGCATCAAAGCCCACTTTGATGGAGAGGATCAGAAGGGACTTCACAGCTGCCCTCAATGCAGGAAACGCTTCACACCGAGGCCCGTCCTGGTAAGAAACACCATGTTAGCAGATTTAGTGGAGCAGCTGAAGAAGACTGGACTCCAAGCTGCTCCTGCTGACCACTGCTATGCTGGACATGAAGATGTGGCCTGTGATTTCTGCTCTGGGAGAAAACTGAGAGCCATCAAGTCCTGTTTGAGCTGTGTGGCCTCTTACTGTGAGGAACACCTTCAGCCTCATTATGATGTGACTCCATTAAAGAAGCACAAGCTGGTGGAGCCCTCCAAGAAGCTCCAGGAGAACATCTGCTCTGTCCACGATGAGGTGAAGAAGCTTTTCTGCCGCACTGATCAGAAGTCCATCTGTGTTGTCTGTGCGATGAGCTCCCACTGAGCTCCTCATAAGGATGTTGTGTTCCGGGGTTCCTTGTTTTCCTTGAGAGTCTGGGTTCGGTTACTCACCATCTGGCCACCAGATGGCACCAAACTCACCTCTCTCTGGAGTGGTGTGTCGTCATCCTGCGCACCTGAGATCAATCTGCTCATCAGGCAAGGTGTACAAGAGGAGCTGACGGCCGCCACTCTGATGCCTGAGTGTTAGCCAGCAACGGTACCTCTGAGGCCCTAGAGCCAGTCTCTATTTCTTCTTGTTGACGGAACGAGTAGTTACTCTCTTTGTTGTTTCCTGCCTCCAGGTGGTTTTCCCTGAGGAGTCCTGGACTCTCCTGACTCACCTCCTTTGGCGACCGCAAAATTCCTCCTGGATCTCCCCACTGGAGTCGACCCGCCTCTCAGCTTCCCACCGGCCTGAGTCTACCTGTCCGCCCCCCGACGCCCTCCTTCATCACCATCAGGATTTCTGTGGCTAAGCGCTGTACCTCCAGGACCACAAGGAAAACGAGGACCCCGAACTCTGCAGTACCCTCCAATCCAATAAACTCATTCATATACGTTATTGCTCTCCTGAGTCGTGCTCTGCATGTGGGCTAGAAATATAGACCCCAACATGACAAAGGAAGCGTGTGACGGGAAAGGGATCAGGGCTCTCCAAATCTGATCATTAATGACTCCTTTCCATCATTAGGGGGGCCACTGCCAGCGGCAGGCCCCCCTATTACTCTTCGCCATATTTATTCCGCGGG